ACACACACACACACACACTAGCTGTATCCCCTGGAGGAGCTAGGGAGGCTATAAGGACTTTACACTGCTCTCTGTGGTTGTTCTATATTCATTGATATAGCACTGCTGGGGCCTGACTAGTTATTGCCTGCATCTCCCGCTATGCATCACATGTATATGCAGTGACTTTGTAATTCAGTCATATACTGTGGGCTCACAGCCGTTGGCCAAGGACAGCTTATAGATATGATGATGTGTTGTTGTAAGGTGTTCACGGTGAATGGATTGAAGCAGGTTTTGTGTTGACGGCTGATTCTAGCAGCAGGATAACAGGATGATGGCGGGAGGGGGAAGAAGAGTAGAGGCTTTGTTGGACTCCTGTCCAGCAGTAGGCGGAGGCAGCACAAAAGCTTGTGACCAGTGCAGCCTGGAAAAATATGAAAGGCAGGAAGTGAATGAGATATGCCTTTCCTTCCATGATCCGCTAACTTCAAAGGGCCATTAGGTAAAGCACAGAGCCCACAACCGCTCAGTGGTAGCAAGATGTTACCGCAGCGGTGCTCAACAGCAGCTGTACTTTCTTATCTAGGATCAACGTGCATTTGTTTGGTGCATTTTCAGGTAGAAGTCTTCACAGGCCCAAAATTATCATTACCAGACGTGCATAAAAGTAATCTTGAGAAAAAAGGGAACTTAAAGAAAAAGGGACCCAAGGATAGTCAGACCCAATCTGAAAACATCAGATGATAGTTGGACCCGATCCAAATTGTGTTTGACTCGAACACACCCAAAAAAACGACGACGATGCTAGTAATGCACCATGATCGAATCTGATCCGCTCCTTTAATAGACGTATTGACTCAGAGAGCTTGCAGAATTTGAACTGGAGCCCAGATCTGATTAGACTGGACATAGTTTGGACCCGCCAGCACGAGTCAAGTCTGGGTTTTTTCTTCCAGTATGCTGAAGTGCACACTGGGCTCGACATTAAGGCTTTGCCAAGTGCAAGTTAGCTCTGTGTGCGGACAAGTAGAATGCCTCATGCAGTCGTAGTGTTAGGGATGCCCCGATCGATCTGACACCGATATTCAGTAAAAATATGTATTCAGGAGAACGTCATTAATGCTGTTTCTTTGCCTGATCCCTGATGAAGCGTTGTGAACAACAAATCTGCATTGAAATGTGCAGGAGGAAAGCTCGTTAACGTTAGCTGTTTGTTAGCAGCCAGGCCTACATTTTAGGCCTAAGTAAGTTTGGCTGTCAGATAAGTAAAACATCTCAGCTACTTGCCTAA